GAGCCAATAATGTCTGGAAAGTAGAGGTAGCCCCACACAGACTAAAATTTAAATCTAACTCATTTCTCTCTGAGTGTACTGAACTGTTATTGTTGTTTCATATCACTTAATCCTGAATTAGATCCTTAGTGTGATCAGTTTGAAGAGAAATGCGCTGTCACTTTTGAAAGTGTTTTTGGGGTTTTATTTGGAAGATACTCTCTGTTATAATGTCTGGAAAGTAGAGGTAGCCCCACACAGACTAAAATTTAAATCTAACTCATTTCTCTCTGAGTGTACTGAACTGTTATTGTTGTTTCATATCACTTAATCCTGAATTAGATCCTTAGTGTGATCAGTTTGAAGAGAAATGCGCTGTCACTTTTGAAAGTGTTTTTGGGGTTTTATTTGGAAGATACTCTCTGTTAGGATTCCTGTCCTCAGGGCCCAACCAAATGCAAGCATGTTTTGGAGCCATGGTCATATCATCACTTACAGTGAACTAAAGAAAATAAATATACCTGTACTGATTTTTTTTACATTGTTAGGCTCTATTTTACATTCTCCAAATGCAAATGCATAGGGTCAAATCTTGAAGAATCCAGCCCATATTTAGCCACCACAGCAGCAACAAATCAGAACTGACTAGGAACAGGAGATAACACCTAAAAGTAAGTAACTGATCTAAGAAATAGAAATCGGTGCAACATGTATCAGCTGAAAATTCATTTTGACTGGTAAAGGGAAAAAAAGGAATAAAATGCTCAACACAATATTGTAACAGCTGGCGCCTCATTAAATTACCCATCTAATTCCAAATCATCTTTAAATGCAGTATTTTGTTTGCTAGCCACATAACAGGGGAAAATTTAAATTATTTTCAGCCAGTTCAAGAAGCTGTTGTTCTGGTGCATGAATTGCTATCCATAAAGCAAAATTCTATTCTCCCTAATTTCAATTATTAAAAATAATTAGCCTACGTATTTCTCATTGTGTCTTCCCATTGCAAGGGAATGCAACAGCTGGATATATTGGGACATGGGGCATGTAATCTTGTATTTGGTGAATCGAAAGACGAGCAGGCTGGTAAATCCAAAAGTTGTTACCATCTCTGAATAAGTGATCCAGTGGTAGTCTGGTCTCTGCAACCAGAAGGCTTTCAAATAAGAAATGGCCAACATGGTCGAGCCACAGACTGATTGATGATGCTCTGATCTGGGACTGTCACGCTGAGATGCCACCAAGTCACACGGAGGCACATTTATTTCACTGAGCAGTGCAGGGCGTCTCAAAGATGCGACTCAAGGCTATTCCCACTTTTTTACATGAAACAACCTCACTCCAGAGTGGAAGAGGGGCACACAGAGTGCAACTGCAGTTTTTCCTCATGCTCAGGTAATTAAGAAAATAATGCAACCCATACATGCATGGGTTAAACATACACCCAGGTATGTTTTTAAGGCACACGTCAAAGCATGAATCACATGCTTTCCTTGTGATTCATACAGCTTCTTCCTGCCCTAAACCCTGTTCTTGCCTTAGACAAGACTTAGACATGGAGATAAAATCTGGGTGACATAGAGGTAAAATCTGGGTATGAATACACCTCTTCCTGGGTTTATGCACTGGGTAAAATACTGGTTTCCCTGTTAAATTCACAAGTGAATCCTAATTTCAGATGATTTCTACAAGGCCAGAATATCTGCCAGAGTTCTCACAGTATAAGAGATCCATTACTCTATTTCTGCTACTCTAAGATTTCATCACTTTTGTTTTTAAAATGCTTTACTTCAGCCTTGCCAGGAACACCCATTTAGAGAATCATGATCTATGTATTTCTATATTGAAGCGAGAAATCTGTATAAAAACCCAGTGTAGAAAGCCTATCCTGCACCGCTTTAAATAGAATTCCTCCCAGAGCTGGACACGTTCTGACATTATCAATAATGCTGTTGCATAAGGACAGATACAAGCAGCCGTTACAATACATATTGACATCTAGTGCATTAGAAACATAAGTGGGTATAAAAACTTAGTGCTTGGAAATAGTCTTTATTTCCACATTTATACTCTAGATATTATGAAAATCCTACAAGGATTTAAAAGCAAAAGAAAGAAAACAAATGAACAAGCAAAAAGCTCAGTGCATATTTGAAAAAGAAAACCCAAAGGAATACTTATTTTAAAGCTGAGTATTTAGTACATAAGATTGTTTTCTAATGGTTCAGCTGCAGGATCTATGTATGGTTATTATCACCTGATCTTACCAATGTATGTGTAAGTAACTTTACTCATGTATGGAAGCACAGCAATGTGAGCATTCTCTACAGAAAGCAAGATTATTAGTTTTCTTTATATCTGATTAAAATTCTAACAATAGGATATGTACTGAGTATTCAAGCAGATCTAAAATCTTAAATTTTGCAAGTTTGCACATCTTTTATTCCACCAGTCTGTGGGGCTACATAGGTACGAGAAGTGCTGGACATTACCTAGTAACTCGCAGGATCAGGGCACAGACTGACAGGCAATGAGGGGCAGGGTCTGATCCTGCTCCTTCTGAAGCCAGGAATGTATTTACTGAGATTAATGCTGCAAGATCAATGCAACCATGTTCAATTTGATAGCAATGTTTTGGAAAAAAAATAGAAAGGGAAAACAAAAATATGCTGGCTGTAAGAAAAACTGTATAGAAGTGAGTTTGAAAGAACTGCAGAAGAAAAATTATGTGCCTGAAACAAAGTTACGCTCTTGAATATAGATTAGGAAAACGTATTTTGATAATTAGATTCAATATGTGTTGGCAGTTCCATCTAAGGGTTTTCTTTGCAGAGGCTTAATTTAATGGTCGGACTTTTACCCTTAAGAGGTGCCTATAATCTAAAATATTGCAGATAATGCCAAATTTAGAAAGAAAAAAAAATCAAGTCTCTGATTAATACTAAGCACTTCTGCTTAATTTTGCCACAGTGTGAAGCTTCACTGGCAGCACGTACCCTGCCTTGTAAGACAGCCCTCTGTGGTGCCACCACGGCCAGCTGTCCCATGGTCACTGGATGCTCTGGTGGCCTGCAGGAGCCCCAGCCTGCCATGGGACACAACACGGGGGGTCCCCTGGGGTCACACCACAGACCCCTGGGGTGTCAATGGAGTTTCGCACTTGATGCATAGTCTGGATACATCCATCTACCTCAGTCCCATAGCAGTGGTATCATCTGACTGAAAATGGGCAGAAAAGAGTCCTGAAGTCCTTAAGGGTTACCAAGGATAACACAGATGTCTAACGCAGGCTGCAAGGACACCTGGACTCTGCAGCGCTCATGGGAGAAGCTGGGGTGCGCTAGTGACACAGCCACTGAGACCAGTGCTATTAGTGACAACAGCAAAGGGTCTTAGGAAATTAAATCTGATTTTGTGCTTTTGTAACTGAAATCAATAGTAGGGGCTCTTGGCATCTTTTGAGACAGCAACACGATCATAATCGCTGGGAATAAAGTCCAAAAAAACATATAATGACTATCTAGTTTACGTTTATAGCTAATCAAAGTAGTTATTATTACTAAAAATAATGCTACCAAAATATTTGATATTTTAAACATAATTTTAAGCATCCAAAAGTTTCATCTTTGAAAATTCTAACAAGAGAGTAATGAAGTGTTACATGTTTTTATTTTCACATATCATGGATATATATGTAAATAAGAATGAGTTACGAGATTGTAGTATTCCTTATACATCCTGTTCTGCGCAGCTACCATCACCATAAGCCCATTACATACACTGCTTTATCACAAGGTAATGAAAAAAGTCTCCTTGGAAGACTTCATGGACATGCCCCATCTCAGAACTGCTCCTCCTATGCAAGAGGCTCTTCTGCATGCAAAGTCCAAGGAGAGGACTTTGCTTTTTGTCTGTGGCATGAATTTTTGTTCATTGCTGATCATCAACCTTTTGACCACTAAACAACTGAAAACTTTCATTTCCTTTTGGGGAACTGGAAGTCATTAGGAATTAAATGTACCATAAACTTGGTTTTAGAGGTTTGCTTGAGGAGACATGGGACTACTTTCTTTTAAGACACCTTTTCTCCATCCTGTCCCTAGCTTTCCTATTTAATAGGCTGACCTCCTTATAAAATGGCCCAGACCTCCGTTCCTCTTCTGTCCATGGCAAAAGGTAAGACACTCACAAGGCCAGTAGTCAAAAAAAGTTTACTACATCATTTTGGCTCAAAAAACCAATAGATTGCTTAGTGTAAAGTTTTGAGGAAATTAATTCTTGTACACCCAAGTAGCAGAGTGACCTGATTTTCTGAACGGGCTTGAGAGATATTGTCTATAATTAGGACCATGGATTATTACAATTTGGTTGAAAATCACTGAAAATGGGAAACATAATAGTAAATTGTTAGAAAAGGTTTCAGTGGTAAAGGACTCTATTGTATTTCCACTAACTACCGCTCATATGGAAGATCATGCCAAATAGAAAACTCATTTCCAAAGGCAGAATAAGCCCTGACACTTTATTGCTAGACTCTATAGCAATTGAAACTCACTTACAGTAACCTTATAGTACTCTGTATAAACTGAGAAGCTCGTATCAAATTCAGGCTTTCATTTAAAATAGATATTGCAGATATTAGGCTTCAATTAAAGAAGAAAAATAACCTTCAGTGCTTCTTTTTTTAAAGGCAAAGTATTAAAAAGATCCCCAAACAAGGTGAAACTATTAAATTTCTCCAAAAAATTAAGATGAGCTTTCTTCTATTTCTTGAGACAATACAATTTGTGATTCACAGGGTAACTGGTATCAAACACAAGTTAATGAAAGCTCTTATAAGCATTTTTATTCCTATCCATAATGGCAGACATTTACAAAATCAGAAGAATTTCTCATTTGTATTCACCTTAAAAATAACTTATAAAGCAGTGATATATGCAACATAAAACAGTTCAGGAGGGGAGAGGGAAAGCAAATTTTAATAATTAAAATGTAAACGTGAAAAAAAAAAGATGGAAAAGTTTCTACTTCTCATTTCTACTTAAGATGTCACATGATAATATTTTACAATGTCCTGTGGGTCTATATATGTATGTGTGCATTTCTATGTGACACACACATACATATACATTAACCCACACATGTACATACACAGATAATTGTTTGCAGCTCCATCTCGGGCAATTCTGTTATGCCACTCTTTACAGTCGCCTCAGTCATGTTTGGGACCCACTTTCTTGACAAAACAGGGGAGATGGTAGGAAAAAAAAGGTGGGTCTGATTGTGTCTGAGATCCTTTTGTTAAACTGTACACTGGGATGAATTATTTTCTTCTGCAGTAGCTCTCTGAAGAGGGCCAACTCACTGTGGTCTTCACGGCGAGACTTGTTAACAAATCACACACTCATTGTCATGCTAGGGGAGTACTGAAAAAAGAGGAATCCACATTTTAACAACCATTTTTTCCCTGCAGGTAACTAGCAGCACTTCTGGACCACTGCAACGAGTTCACATCTCAACACGATCTTCAGACTTCCTCCTAAATTTGTACTGTAGCCTGTGCTAAGGCTGTAGTTCAGCTTGTGGTATCGTAACTTCTATTATGCTTCTCTCATTACACAAAAATACAGCTATTGCTGATAAAGCAAACTCCCCTGAAGGCTCTTCTGGTGTTAGTGAGTGGTGTGATGAACCAGTACTTCACTGATGCTTTCCACACCTTCTCCTGGTCAATGTTGGCTATTGGGGGTATTTATCTAGGTAGATGGCTAGACTCGAGCAGACCAGCTACATTCGTGGTTAGCTGAACCACATACACATTTTGAAGAGCTTTTTATTACTTTATGTAAAAAAAAGGAGTAAAGATATGCCTGACTGGAATTAAACTAGGCTTTTGGACTTTATTAAGCTGTATTATCAATTTTAGGAGGAAAGCTGAATCAAGGATCAGTAGCCCTTCATGTAAACCAAAAATTCAGTCACCACATTACATTATTATTGTAACACAAATTGAACTGCAGCCCTTCATTACAATATTCAGTGGAACACCCCATACCTAGAAGAAGTCCACATCTACATGCTTAATTTGTTTTTAAACTGAAAATTGCGGATTGTGGGTATACTTAATTTGGCCAACTCCAATTAAGTGGAAGAAAATGTTCAAACACAAGTATGAGCATTATGAGAACTGATAAGAAACAGAAAGATAAATTTGCCTTTGCAAAAACAGATCTGCAATAAAAATCCTTCCAAAGTTAAGAGTCTCAAGCTGGCCATTTCCAAGTGTCCAAACATATTGGAACAAGCACTTTGGATGGGTCTTCCCTGTCATGTAGAGTACACAGGATGGACTAATTGGGTAAAGCCTGTTTTGTCTCTTTTCATGTCTGATGGTTTGTCTGCTTAAGGGCTTACTCCCATCATGTCCTGCTGAGCACCACCAGAGTGGGCCAGCAAAGGTAGTAAGATCATGCTTATCTTTAGCCAAAGTTGGAGACCAGCTCAAATGCTTAAGGCAAAGCATTCGTTCAGGGGATTTCCTGTATCTGAGTCAGAGTACCTGGGTAATCACTTTGGACAAGGAATGAAAAGACGATCTAACGGTGTTTGTGATTTTTAACTTACTCCTTGCAAACTGAATAGCAAATCTGCCTGAGAAAGGACTTCATAATAACGTCTACTTTAAGTAGCCAAGTAAGAAAATCCAAATCAGAAAGCAAGACAGTTCCCAAGGGCTACAATGTGACTTGTGTCAGAGAGGAAACTATACCTAGAGGCAGACTAAAATGCACATGGCAGGTATAATGCATGCCTTGTAGGCTTACATCTCATGTAAAACCTTGAGAAAACTGGGTCCCAGGTTCTTCCATGTAGGAAAACAACATCTAGGAGCTTCTACAATCCAGTGAGTGTCTGAGAAAACTGATTTTCTTCTGAGTACAAATGATGTCCTTCTTCTCATGACTTTAATTTTGTGAACTGGCCTGCCTGCCAATCAGACTGCCTGCCCGCAGTACAAGCAATGTATGCCAAATTGGGAGTTAAGGAGTACCATGACCGAGGTTCACATTTAATGGAGGTTCTGTGGTTTCTGCTTTTTGGCAGATATTTAAACATCAGTCTTTTGGGGATGCACAAACCAATTTTCTCCAATATTCCACACTATCTGAACATGTGCCCTCTTTATGGGCATATAAACAGCTAACATGCAGAACCTCTGACTTTTCGCTAGTTGATGAAGCAAACCCAAAAATCGGGATTCCTAGTCAATTTGCCATGCAATTTGACTGTTTTTTGATCTAACAGAAACTGTCTACTTGTCATAATTCAGGAGCTGAAGGTCACCACTGGCACAGTTAATGAAGTTGCACTCACTTCTGGCAGCAGTGACTTCCAATACGAACAAAAGTGCTGAAGTCACCCAGCACTTCTGAAAAATCAGGACACTCCTATTTAGGAACCTAAATGTGGATTTAGAAATCCAGCTTCAGGCATACAAGTATGAAAATACTGTAGTCTTGCTTTGTAATGTGCTTTACAACACCTCTTGCTGCCTCAAGCACTCTCCATTTTAAAGGAGGATTATTTGTCCCAGAATGAACACTAGAGGGAACCTTTGCTTTTTCTGGCTCTAAGAGCACACTGCATCTTTCCAGCATGAGACCTACTGGTGCTCTAATTATACACTTCAGTGTGAATCCTGTTCTGAAAGACATTCCCTGCAAAACACATTGTTTAGGAGTCAAAGGTTGAGCAACCACAGACTGAAAACACTCAGATGTAGGGATCTGTCAACTGTGTTTATTTAGGCTGCTTGGATATTGCCAGACAAATGCCCATTGTGCATTACTGAATACTTGTTGTGTAATTATTACTGCTTGACAGATCTAACTTTCATTGACAACTGACCTCTTAATCTAGAAAAAGAGTTTCTGCAGTGAATCTACACCTCCCACATTTTCCAGTTTCAGCTCGACTTCTAGCAGTACTTTGCCCAATTTTTTGTTGAATCGATACTGTAATTTTAGAAGCTAGTAAAAACCACATAAGGCACAGTACTGCATTACAGGTACACTATAAAACTGCTTGTTCTTGCTGTTATTTTTCTTTTTGTAAAGAAAATGCCAGAGATAAAGGTTCACAAATTAAACAACAAACAACAAACCAGGTAGAGAAATACTTACGCTTTCACTCTGAAAAGGGTTTAGGAAGTTTCCACCCATCTCACCATCATCTCTGGGAGTGCCAGGCTGATTGCTCATGCTTATATTACTGGGAGAATTCTGTTAAATAAGATTTTAAAATACAGATTAAGTGTTGTAGACTTCAGTTCATTCCCCAGTGTCACCAAGCGTGCCGAAGGGCCCTTACACAATGCTGTAGTACACGAAGATGCACTGAGAGTTTCAAAGATTAAAAATAAGCCTCTGCAGGGATCTGCATGATTCAGTCACTAATTTTAGCCCATAAAGTAGTGGTTTTTTTCACTGAAGCAAGAATTATTTACCTGTCAATTCCTGTTTTCAGGTTATAGCCAGCATCTACTGAGGTCAGGAAAAGCTATAAGCAGCTGCAGCAGCTCTGAGAGGTAGCTCTGTCCCTACACTAAATCATGTGGTCAAACTCAGTGAAGTCTATGCGTGTGTCTTCCCATATGTGAGGTATGAATATATACTTACAGGTAGACAAACAGATGGATCTGGTCTATTCAGACCTTCACAAAGGCCTGTGCCTGGGGCTGTTGTTCACAGTGTTCACAGTTTATAGAAATACAGTTTCACAAGCACTTCACAAGTGTGGCTCAAGTGCTGCACCACTTCACTGAGCTCAGCTCAGTTTATAGGTAAAGGAGTTAACAAGAGGTTTAGATAAAAGACTCCTGAGTAACAGCTGGCCACTGTACTGGGCTTGCAAACACATTCAGGAAGAGATGAACATTTTCTTGCACAGAGCTTAATGCAAGAGTGTTTTAATCTACCTTTTCAGTGTCTAGGTGTCACTGGAATGGTAATCGATGATAACAATACAAAGGCTTCTGAAGATACATGACTTTTTTTTAAAGAAGCGCTTCTGTACAACCACCTCTGCAATGCTCAGGAAACGCGTTCAAGATTTGACAGCCAATGACAGGACAAGGGGCAATCGGTGCAAGCTTGAGCATAGGAGGTTCAATCTGAACATGAGGAAAAACTTTTTCACTGTGAGGGTTATGGAACACTGAACAGGCTGCCCAGAGAGGTTGTGGAGTCTCCTTCTCTGGAGACATTCAAAACCCACCTGGACGTGTTCCTGTGTGACCTAGTCTAGGTGATCCTGCTCTGGCAGGGGGGTTGGACTGGGTGATCTTTCAAGGTCCCTTCCAGCTCCTAACATTCTGTGATTCAGTTACTTATGGAAAGGGTGAAATGAAGTAACTGTCACAGAAATTACTCTAAGTTAATAACTAATACATGATTACTGTAGACACTACAATTAGTTGGTGTTTTTATAAAGTTGATTTGTGGTACCCTACCATGCCTGGAGTGTGGGCAAGTCTCATTCCACCACCACTAAGACTCCTACTTATAAAGCATTTGTGATGGAAAAGGAACAGTCAGGGCAAGGAGGGAGTGAAGTCATGAACTTCATTATGAAATGTTGATGTCTATCACAGTTCTTCCCTTGATTTTTGTTTTTGACCCAGAAAAATTGAATGCAATATTGCTGTTGAGATTTTACTTACGCAAATGCAAAGCTATTACATCTCTTAAGAACTGACCAAATCGTAACAGCTGTAAGAATCCTAAGTGAATTTGTTCTGTTTTCCTTATGTTATTCTCAGCTACAATCTAGGCACAGTATGTCTGTTAGCATAGGGATTTTTTTGTGAAAAAAAACAAAGTATTTTGCATTTTGAAAAAACCCACATGCAGTCTTCATTCAGTACAACTAACTCTGTGATAGGTCAAATTTTGAATGAAAAATAGCAAACAGAAAAAAAAAGTGCCTTAATTTCTTGTCACTTTCCTCACAACTACAAAGGCCATCTGCCCTACCCTGGCACTTCAAATGTGTACGGTTGTGTAGTCACTGAACAGAAATGGGATGGGACAGCTACCTACTTCCCCTCCATCCTGTATTTCCAACTGCTCCCCTTTGTAACCATGAAATCCCATGTTGACCGCTGTCCACAATTTAAATATTGTAAAATATTCCGCTGTTCCACAGGATTTACTTCACCTTCAAGGAGAACAAACAGGTTTGTTCCCAGCTCCACGGAATACTAGAACTTAACTCAGTTTTTGCTACTGCATCAGCAGAATGGTACACCTGATGGCTGTACACACTGTCTGCTTTGCACTGTATTTTGTATGCCTCATGAAAGGCTGCTGTGCGGTTTTCATCATACTCTCCTGTGGGATGATCACCATTCTCAGTCTGAATGGCCAAGTATGTTCACAGGTTCAGCTGAGTGTATTTATTTTCAGATATAGATTAAGTATGAAATTAATTACGTGACATGCGGGATAACAGTTTTTTTATTAGTACCTAAAATGCAACCTACAGAATTGGTCAAGGTGCCTTTGCCCTTTTGCTTTCCTCAGTATAGTTCACTGCTTCTGAAACTGTGATCTCCAGATCTACAGAAATCACTGGACAACACATCTATCAAAGATAACTAAGAGCCTAACTAGTTAACTAACATCTGACAATTAAATTTGCTATTCAGTGAAATCAGACCAGCAAATATTTAGGGATCCACAGCTTGAAAAAGGTTGAAAACTACCTCTTTAGTTCAACCACAGCTACTGTACCTTAAGTAGGAATTAAATCAGGGAAGTCTTGTTGCCTGTGTTATGCAGCAGGTCATGCTACACTATCATATCAGTCCCTTCCGGCCCTATAATCTATGAATATAAAGTTTAAAACCCACTAAGGCCTTGTCATATTTATTTTATAAGATGCTCCCGCACTTCTGTTCATTCCTGGGGGATTTACCCCTATTTTGTCTTGCTCTGTGTAGCACAAAGCTTTGAAATTCTGCAATCACTACAGCATGCCAGCCCCAAAGGTTCAAATTCCTGACATAAATGCTTTTATAGCAACTCCCCTGGGCTGCTTTTATGGACAGTATGGGGTCTAGCATTGTAGCACTAGCTGAGTTTTTCCAGAGCAAGTATGTCTTTGATGCCTGCACAAACTCCATTGGCACTGCGAGAAACACTGGTTATTAATGTTTATTTAATATGCATAATTTCAGTTCATTTACTTCCCCCATCTCAATCTACTTCATGTTTTGCCACTCAACCAATTAAATGAAAATCTTCTCTAGAAAATGTCACTCTGAATGCTGTGAGCTGTCCTGATTCTACCAAAACTGGATTAATTTTCTACTCATCCTGGGAACTGATAATCAGCTCCTCTAATAACGCATTTTACTCCATTGAAGTCCTGTGCCTGGGCTTGAGCATCACACACCCCAAACTGTGTTAACTTCAGTGAACTGTTTCCATTGCTGGAAATCTACTTGTGAAAAAGCCAACTGGAAGACCTGATGTGTGCAGGGAGACTGTTGCCTCAGCAAGGACCCTCCTGGTAACTGCATACTAAGCTGGAGGGCAGCCACACATTGATTTTGCACGCATCAGCCCCAGAAATCTACTATTACTTGCAAGCATAACTTTTCAACTCAAGTTTCAAAAGCATTATGTACTACTACCTACCTGAAATTAGCAATGCTACCCATGCATTTTTACTGCTATCAATGAGGGCTGTGTATCGGGCAGTGCTACTCAGAAAAAGGTATAATGGTGTAACAGGACAACTCTGTTCCCTGCAAATTTAGCAGCATTTTGCATTTAGTTATTTGAAAGAGACATGCATCAAATGTGATTTCCATGCGTTATTTAAGGTTAACAAATGACAAGACTTCCAGGTAAATTTTGGGATCCAAGTTTTCAGAGCCCCTAATATTTCTATCCACACATATACTGATACTTAATACCAGAGAGTTGAATACAGGCTTTTAAAAATAATCCCATGGCAAGCTAATGGAAATGTTTTGTTTTGTTTCCTTAAAAAGTGCTGCAGTTTGCAATAAAAATACTGAAGAAAAAATACAGACATTGATTTTAAATGTGCTGTAGACTTATTATCTCATTGGAAGCTTTTACTGAATCCATCACTGCAAATCTAAGCACAGCACAACTAAGGCAACACAGACATTTCAATCCATCATTTTACTCTTTGAGGAGCCTGAAAATGTTATAGATCTTAAAAAGTTACAAAAATACAGGACTGCTACAGATGCTGCTCCCCCTTAGGAGCAGCAATGGCCTCAGAGGCCCTCCTTTCCAGAGAGACAGACACTAAGCATGCTTCATAGGCTACCCCTGTCCCATTCCACACCAGCAGGAGACCACGGACTGGGGAGCCATACCAGGCCTTTGCCCTCCTCTTTGGATAGACAAATACGCATCACTGACTGATTCCTGCCTTCTGAACACCTGGAAGTGTATTCTCAACAAATTCACACTGCAAACTTCTACGTTAACCCATGGGATCTTGGAAGAACATTCTGTTCCCTGTTGGCCTACGTGTTGGCACCTCACCATAGTTCCTGTGGATGCACCCACAGCAAGGTCCCTAGCGTGGCCTCAGACCAACCTCAGGTCTGAAGTGGTCAAGTCTGCACCAGGAGAGGTCTAGAAACAGCACCGCGGTGCTGGGTCCTGGGGCAAACAAAATGCATCCACAGCCGGTATGTCCAAAACAAACGCATACTTCTCTCTTGGAGGATTGTCAGGAATTTTGCTACAAACAAATGAGTTTGTTATAAAAACTTTAACTGAAACAATCTCTTCATCGATTTCTGTATTTGTAGATCAAAAGCACAAAAGTGCAGGGAGATTGCTGTAGTGATATACTTAGTAGGTTCAGTTTAATCTGAAGGTGCTGAGTGAAAAACATAGTGTTTTGCAAGGGAGAGATTTATGCCACTTTATCAATAGCAAATAAACTCATTAATTCCTAAATTAATGATGATCACATATGTAGTACTTTGTATTTTTATGGAAGAAGTGATGTATTCAAGCATAATATTTTTTATGTAGATGCAAAACCCCTGCAGGTTAAGCTCACATTCACTTCTAATATACTATTTAATGGGTGTGATATCAAAACAGTGCTTCTTCTGAAACTACTTCTTAATCTAGCTTTTAGGAACTTATACTAATAATGAAGATATTATAATTGCCTGCAATCATGCAGTTCATAAAAGTAACATCCTAATGATGTTTTCCCAAATTTACATTTAACTAGAATTTACTATTAAAACAATACTAATTTGTCTTAACAGTATGGAAGATTATAACATGATCAATCAGATTATGAACTGGATATAATTAATCACATTCATTAATACACATTATTATGCACTAGGAAATAAGTCTACTTATACTTCCTATTGATTATATTGTTTCTAAATTTTCAATTAATACTAATTCTGTCTACATAGACTCCAAAGAGTTGACAAGCAGAAAACACAGATACATAATAAAAAGCTTCATAACACAGATGAAGAAAATATGTTTAAGAGTGAAATATTCTGAGAATTCCAAGTATTTGATCAGATACTCACTTTGGAAATACTGTCCATGTCTCCTGAGCCTTAAAATCAAAATAGACAATTATTCAGTTAGTTTTGAGCTGAAGTTATTCTAAGGATATTTTCATAGTAAATACATAGATTAACAGCAACATTTTAAAACATAACCTATCCATCTCAGTTCCTTCCCAATGTCTCTTTTATTAAAAGTTTAGAGTCAGTATTGAATAATGTTAGTCCTTTCTCTGTGTACACACCCAGTGCAAAAAGTGAGGAAGGCATGAAGGAGACGCTTCTTATCTGTGCCAGTGTTTGGATGGCATCCTTTTGGGATGAGACAGCCCAGCACAACTCAAAAGACCATGTGTGCCACCTCCCTGTCCTCTCAGCTGTGGCAGGGCCCAGGTAAGGCCATCAGTTTTGGGTATATCCACCTAAGGGAAATGTTGCTTCAGCTTGAGGAAAAAAAGGTAAAACTGTGGATAACTAACAAAAGCTGATGTTCCTGGGGGAAAATAAAGACCACTGTTTTTACTGAACTTCAGCTACTTCAAACTCCCCACCAGAGGGATATCTCCAAGGGGTTTCATCAATGTCTCTGCTCCCAGAAGCATAAGTCTAGTACTGAAATTGGCTGAAATGATATCAGCTTTTGATGCATCACAAATACTGATGATGAGAGTATCTTCCAGAAGAAAGAGGATGATGATCATGAGGACCAGAGTAACAGAATGCAAATAAAATGAAATGTTATGAGCACAAGACTATTGAAAATTAATTTTTTTCACATGCTGTGGCTCTCACTCAAGTAAAGCTAAAAATCGAGAAAATAGAATTTTAGGATGGAAGTATCAAGAAAAGCATTTTCAGCAGCATCAGTCAGCGAACAATTCTGGTCACCTATTTTCAGGAAAGACAAATTTAAACTCGAAGAGTATCAGAGAAAAACAATCCAGAAAATGGAACTGTGGGAGGACACTGAAATAGCTTACTATCCTCAACCACGCAAATGAAGGCTTAGAAGGAATATGATTTTCTCTCTATAAATACATCAGATACATAAACATTAGGAAGAGTAATTTTGTCACAGCTCGAAGGATGAATTTTGGTGGAAATCAGGAAAAGATTTATTTCTATGAACAGATAACCAGCAGAAGTGTTATGGTCAAAGAAGTTGGAGAAGTTCAAGATGGACCTTGACCAATTTATCCATCTGATTACAAGACACAGCTGCTGACTGCAGCATGGAAATGAATGCAGATCTCTCCCAGCCCTCTTCTCCTAAGAGGGAAGAGGTTTCAGCTTAGATATGATGTTATCACTAGAAAACAATCATTAATTTGACCAAGCACACCATCATTTACACTAGAGAAAATTAGTAACCAAATGATAAGCACATGTAAAATCCTTCCACAACTGTTTCAATTTAATTTTTTTTGTTAGCTAAGGAATAATTCTCAGGCTACAGAAAGTGACAGAAAAAAGACGTGATTACCATTTACGCAGTTTTTAATTTATTTCAATGTAATATGCATCATTATTAATTATTAATTAAAGCAACAATCCATTTTAGGATTGCACTATGTAAAAAAAGGCTGCAAAACTGCAAGGTGTCCTTATGCAAAGTAATCTGGGAATTTCAAGGACATGCTTTCCTACAAAAAAAGATAATTCTATTAGGAGATAGATGCCTACTGCTGAATTTTAATCGTTCAGAACATGTCCGCTAAACAAGGTTTGATAGCTTAGGTTTTTTCCCATCTTGTCATGACTTTTTCTAAGTTCTCCTTTCTTCTTGCCTCTTTATATTGCCTGTCTCACAACCTCCAGCTTTTGGGTTACAAGTGATAGATACCCATCAATCATGGTAGTACGGACTTAAATGGCAGGGACTACGTGTTGGTCCATGTCTGTGCTGCGAAGGTGGCAGAGCTTTTCTTTGGGCATAAAAACATGAGGAACAGTGGCAGCTTGGCTTCTGCCTGTCTGACCTGCATCTGTCTCGCAAGGGTTCATCCCCATAAAGGAAAACGTTGCTCAGCCAGGTGCTGCTGGTGCCCCTTGTGGGCATGGGCCAGCTCCCAGGTGTAACAGGGAACCTTGCTGGTGGACGGGGAGACAGAAGAAGAAGAGACCTGAGGTCTTTGCAGCCTTGGGTTCCCCTCTGAGGTTGCCTGCGTGACCGATGGCCCTTGGTGCAGACACAAATAAAGAGTACGACACAAGAAGTGTATTCAGAGCTACTGGTCTGGTATGAGCAGGAACAAAAACAAGGTATGGACAAGGAAGGCATAAATGCAATTTACTTAGCTGTGGCTTGATTCTTAAGCTGCTTTCAAATGTCTATCATGCTTCCAGCAAAGAGTAAGAGCAAAGAGTTTGCTAGGGTAGTCAGGAGATAAAGCTGTGTTTGCTTTGCAGAGTTGTGCAAGGCTTCTCCCTAAGGTATGAGTCCTTCAAAGTCAAAAAGTCAAGCAGTGCATGTTCTCTGCCTCTGCATGTTCTGACAATAATTCATGTTCTTTTGAGTGCATTAAAATTGTCTGAGGCTGCTAATGGGGGTTGAGTGATAATACTCACACCTAACAGGCTAAGTATAGAACAAATGAAGATATCAAAATGTTGGGATAAAACCAGCTTAACACATACATCAAAATATGTAATAACTTACTTCCAATAATTGATAAGAACATGCACCAGCATGTCACAATGCTCCCAAGATGTTGAAATGAGGTAAATAATTATGGTTCTTAAGCTTTCACCTCTACATTATTATATGAATGCTTTTAGATTGGTTTTTATCAACTGGATTAAAACTGTACTCCTTCACATAAATAAAATAGCAGTATTTTTCTTCTAGAAGTACAGTATGTATATGCCAGCTCATATGCTTAAAAAGTATCTTACTTCTCATCGATGTATATGCAGCTTTTTCAGTTTTTTAAAAGATTTTTACTTACAGTCTTCCACATAACTCAAAGAACTACTCATAGAAAATGGCACCAGTCATTGAAAATTCAGAACGTTCACAATATTTATTATCATTACCTAATGATCCATTCATATGATGTGAATCCATTCCACCCAGTCCACTCATAGGTCCATCTGACCCTGGCCCCATTGGAAACTATAAAAGGATCAGACATTAAAAACTGGCATTACAGTACAATTTTTCTAGATAATCTAATAAAAATAAAATATTCCTAAAGGAAAAAAAAGGAAAAATGCAGAGTCCCAGTTCTGAATGCACAACTCAAGTGAAAATCTTTCATGTGAAGACTGCAAAAACATCATTGCTTTTGTTCTCTATTTTCAATGCTGCCTTCATGATTTTTGGAAACTCTCACCTCTGTAGGCTGGAATATAACTTAGGAATTACTGATTATTTACTTCAACGCTTTGTGTATGACTTTCAAACCTGCTAGTGCTGATCTAGCTCTACTCGCATTGAAGTTACAGAGAACTTCACAATTCTCTTGAACAAGTAAATGTAAGTGATTAACAGCTCTCAGACCCCACCTTATCCATAGTGACAGTCGGACTACTACTACCTGTGCAACATTAGCAGCTTCTGTCAAATTTCAGATCTTAATCTTAAATATAGTTTTTAAAAAATGTAAAGACATTAACATTATAGAAAAAAAATCTAAAATTTACTGCATAATGATTTGGCAATATCTAAATATCTATTTTAAATTTCTACTGGCCTTTCTTTCAAAAGGCCCATAATATGGATTGTGATTAAATGAGACACAGTTGTAATCAGAGAAACACAATAAAACTGAAGGCACAGGGAAAGCTCAGAGAAGAAACAAGTTCCACCTGAGAATCCAGATTTTTGTCAGCTCTTGAACTGCTGAAACTTAGGCTAAAATAGCCACAACTTAACTAGTTCATTAGGCAAATACTTAAATGCTACCAACAGATTTCATTCCTAACATCCCACTTAGATAAACAAGGAAGTTTGTTTCTTCTCAGAGGCCTTAACTTTTATCCTTTTCTATAAAGCGTCAGGGCAACATAATACTGGGTCGCTTTTAGCAATCTTCTCCTCTCTTTTCAAGGGTATATACTTTTTAAAAACAGAAGTTGGAAAGTCTTGCAGAAACTGATGTTTAGTGGCCGCTCCCAGGATGATGTCCTGTCACACAGGTCTATTGCACCCCAGCATGACAAACTAAGTTGTCCCCAAGATCCATATGCAGAAGCTTCAAAGGTCTTTCCCGTGCAGAAGAATATGCCCCAACCACTATTTTGCATATCCTGGCATGACTGATTTCAGAAACATTAAAGAGTACATGGTGAGGAAACCAACTGAAGCTTCACCAGTAAGAATGGACAACTTAGTATTCATGGTATGTGATGGAAATGTAGTGTTTAGGTAAAAAAAGGCTGTATAATTCAAAGAAGTATATAACTAGATTCATATTTACATTAGGTCTGTTGGGTCCAGGTGGTACTGCATTCATTAAAGTGTACATGTTGTCTCCAGAGTTGGTTGAATCTGTAATAAAAGATTATTTTAAGTGCTAATATATACCTTTCAATAAAACTGCTCACCTAATACATTTCCTGTCATTTTGTTCATATCATTTCTATGCCTGAATCACTGATACACAGTCGTAATATAATGGAAGATTTCATTCCCTTTCTATCTATTGCTACCAAACAACAGAGCTATGAAAAGAAATAATTGCAATGGTCCCTATGTGACTACTTCTAGACTCTAGTTTTATGCATGACTGTTAGAAGGTATAAATCACCAAGTATCTTTAACTATTCAATTCCATAAAACCTTTTTCCTGGAGTTCCAAATTACATCACTCATCTTCAATATTCTCTATAAAACAGGAATTTCTTTCTTATCAATACTTCCTGTAATTTTTTTCCACCTGTAGTAAATGATAAATAGCTTCTCATTATGCAGACTGCAAGTTAGTATAGTGAATGATTTTTTTTTTTCTCATTCATGTCAGTCTCTGATTTTGGATCTATCTAACTATTTAGTGTCTCACTAAGAAGTGCAAAGGTCCTTGCTCTAAGGACAGCTTTAACTGATGTATCTTCATGCTACAGCATGGTGCAATGACTCAAAAAACACCTGAGTCCAAAACCAACAAAACCATCTTGGCACAGCATGGTGCTTAAGCTGGGAAGTTCTGCCAAGTTCACTTGGCCTTGCCAGACATCACAGCTACACTGCATCTCAGTCCTTTTCCACCAATCAATGCACCAACTTTCAGATGGAGCCCCTCCAAAGTCGAAATGTAAGATTTAATTAACACAACATAGAGAAGATGACCTACATAAATCTTCTGGTTGGACTTAAGTAACCAATGCCCAAGAACCATTAGTAAATAAGAATTATTCATTCTGATCTGCAATTTGCCCTCATTGCTAACAAAGTCCTAACACCCTTTCAATATTTTTAAGGAAGAGAAGGCAAAAAACGCAGCAGGGAGTATACACATTAGGCAAAAGCGCTTCCCAAGGGAACTCGACAAGACATAGACCATATAATGAAAAAGTTTACTGAGAGGAGAAGGATCTAAGGAAAATATAAATACATAGCTAAGGGGACAGCATGATTTAAAAAATTATTGTCAACTCTGGAAAATCAGTACCTCAATAGTATCTGCATACAAAGTATAGCTTAGTAGTCTGGACCTAGCTCCTCCAAAGGATCATTCCACCTCTTTGAACCAGAGTTTTGAGATTAACAACACACGCAAAAAGCACTGCTGAGCTGTAATTGCTTTTCCCAGACAAGGTGATAGGGGACCTTTAAGTCAGAATTAGCGAAAGCAAGAAAGCTGAGATCAGACCAAAATGTTTTGGAACTGGGAATGCAGCCTGACCTCCCTCACAATGTGTGTTTGTGCACTTGGCAGTTACAACCAAGGTCTTCATCCATTCCTTAATCTTTCCTAGACAGTTTTCTAAGCATTAATTAACCTTGGTGAGTAAATAATTCCATTATATGCGGAGCACTATGTATCACTACAACATTCAGATATGGTGTTTGAAGAAGAGGAAGAACAAAAAGCTTTTAGCCTAAAGCTACTGAAGTAAAATTAGCACATAAAAAGTTATTTTTAAAGCTCAATGAGTTCTTCACCCACCAGATCCTGTTGCAACACGGATCCCTGGCTCTCCCCATGTTCGAGCTCATGTAAAAACACATACATGCTGGCTAGGCCATGGGAACCCTCAGATCGTCTCAGCGGCAAGTAAGCACCTTTGCAGAATTATAAGGTGGTCAATTTTGAAGTATTTTCATGGTTTGGAAAACAGAATCTACAAGCATCTTTGAATCTGTAACTGGAAATGGGAACAGCTGTCAGCAGTTTTGTTTGAGCTGCACACAGATTCCTAACATGTGCAGAAACTCCACGGCTGACTAGTTTTAAAAGTGCAGGCTGTCTGTAAGTTTGCTTCATGTTAAAAGAGACTCTAATTTTTAAATGCCAGTTTGCATTCATTATCTTTTCCACTGATGATATGAACAAGGAAGCCTTACCCTTTATCTAAGGTTGCATTTTTTAAATCCCTGGAATTGTATTTAATGAAGTTTTTATATTTGTGCAACAAGTTCTCATGGGCAGTTAGGAAACCTCCCCACCCTCTTGTGCTGTAGAGGACATCAAGAACAGGTATGACATAAGGACTGAGGATGCTGTAACATCACTGAGGTGAACAAGTCCCTCTGAGCTGGTGAAAGTGAGTTACAGAGGCAGATGTTGGCCAAAAAGGAGTAGCCATTGAATGTGGAGGAGAGCAGCCTGTCCAGCATGACCCTGCTGTCAGTCAGATGACACAGCTGTGGGATGCAGCACACCGCTCAGGGGCCACATCTTGGACAGGTCTATCCCACAGGGTACTACAGGGGAAGTTCCACCAGATTCAGAAACCTCCCGATTTCCAAACTGGTGAAACTGCCCCAGAGAACATTAGCAAAAGCCAATACAGACAGCAACTTCTCTTGCTTTTAACTTGCTATGGCTGAAATTGTGCAAGAAAAGATGGCCTTGAAAGCCATAGAAATTACTTGCACTGAACTGCAGAGAAACAATGCTTAGAGATACGATGCTTTTTATCTGTGCAACATATCAGGGAGAGAAAGGGAGTGAAAGCGCAAAAAAAGAATGACACAGAAAGTACAAATGTAGTAATTTCTCATTAGCTGATTCTTCATGAAAATAAAATTCTGAAAAAAATAATCTGTGTACGTCCTTGAATCCCTTGTAATTATCTTTATTTCTGAGTATATTTCAGTACCTGCAGGACTAGGCATGATCGGTGTTCCTGGTGGCCCTCCACCTCCTGGAGGACCCTAGAGGGGGTGGAAAATGTCAGTTAGCATGAAAGGAAAAAATAACGCAGTAAAAAATGAACACAGTACAAATAATACTAATTTTTAAAAGTATTGTGAATGTCATGAGCTGCTCTGGTAAAAACATGTACATTTTCTGATAAGCTAGCAGAACAGCTCATCACAGATTTGAACAATGTAATCGGTCAGCAAGCTCTGGCACAGACTTCTGATGTACGTTAAGTATACAGACCCAAGAATATCCATTAGTCAATAACTTCGTGTCATGGTGTAAGTCAGACAGGAGAAATACTTGGAGCAGGGCATACGACAATTACATCTAATTCCCTCAATCTGCTTTTCACACACAGAATCACAGACTCACAGAACGTTAGGGATTGGAAGGGACCTCAAAAGATCATCCAGTCCAATCCCCCTGCCGGAGCAGGAACACCTAGATGAGGTTACACAGGAAGGTGTCCAGGCGGGTTTTGAATGTCTCCAGAGAAGGAGACTCCACAACCTCTCTGGGCAGCCTGTGCCAGTGCTCTGTTACCCTCACTGAGAAGAAGTTTCTTCTCAAATTTAAGTGGAAACTCCTGTGTTCCAGCTTGTGTCCGTTACCCCTTGTCTTATCATTGTTTGTCAGCGAGAAGAGCCTGGCTCCATCCTCGTGACACTCACCCTTTAAATATTTATAAACATGAATGAGGTCTCCCCTCAGTCTCCTCTTCTGCAAACTAAAGAGACCCGGCTCCCTCAGCCGCTCCTCAGAAGGGAGATGCTCCACTCCCTTGATCATCTTTGTAGCCCTACGCTGGACTCTCTCCAGCAGTTCCCTGTCCTTCTTGAACTGAGGGGCCCAGAACTGGACACAATATTCCAGATGCGGTGTCACCAGGGCAGAGTAAAGGGGGAGGAGAACCTCTCTCGACCTACTGACCACCCCCCTCCTGATACACCCCAGGATGCCATTGGCCTTCTTGGCCACAAGGGCACAGTGCTGGCTCATGGTCATCCTGCTGTCCATCAGGACACCCAGGTCCCTTTTATTACCACTGGTTCTTCAGCTGGCATTTCTGTTTTGTTGTACTCTGTACACAGTCGATGGTAGAGTAACTATTTGCTAAGCACAAAACAAGGGGGTGTCCCATGGGGACAGAAGAGCCCGATCACCTTACAAAAGCTTGCTTTCTTAGGCAGACTTGGTATCTCGATGCCATAGGGATGTTAATTCTGTCTGTATAACATCCTACATTTTAAAAAAATAAAATCTGTATATAATTTCTTCTCAAATTAACGATGAATAGATTAAAAAAGCCAGGGCAATGCTGGGTATGGTTTTGCCTAGACTGCTAAATCAAAGATTAACCAACCAACAAACCAAAAAAAACCCCCAAACATCACGGAACATCTCTTTTCTTGGTTCCAGGTGTTGCTGTGTTACAAATCTGTTTATGACTAAGAACTGCACACAAACTGCTCTGGTTGTTAAACAAGCTTTTTAAGGTTCTTTAAGAATTTATCCAAGAATTCTATTCTAAACATCCTAGTCTGTTAGTAAGAACAGAACCATAACTTCTTGCTTTCTATGTCTGCATGCACTAATATTTTTAAGTAACATGAAAAACTACCAACTTCCAGTTTGATCAAAATGTCCATGACAATAAAAGTCAGTATCTATTGACTTTGCATAATAAACAGATACCCAGATTGCTAGCTAGAGATTATTATTTTCATTGCCATATGACTATTAATATGTTTTATCTATTTTGTTATTTTTTTAAAGTAGCAGTTATACTTTTCCAGATAGAAACATTTTTTTGTAGCACTGAATATAAAGGTATGGTTGCTCCTGTCTGCTTACAAGGACATTGCTGAGATTTGCATTAATCCACTGAGATATTTTGGAAGAAGGCAAAGTCTTGGATTTAAAACAACACTATATCTCAATGGCCTACTTAAAATAACATTTCTTACAAAACATTTAGCAATAATACACTAGCAAACACTATTTTCAGACAATCAACTCAGTTATGTATCAGCTCTCTGATTGATACCGCTTCTCCCCAGATTCATACAAGTGAAATATTTGTAGGAGGAAGCATCTCTGTCTGCCAGCCAGCAGTCAAGTCACAGTTAATTGTAGATGAAACAGAAATCTTTCACGCAGAAGCATCCGCACATCCCTACAGCATGTCAACAAATATATGTATACACACACACACATATGTATATATATGTATGTATACTTGTACATACACACCACTGTGCCCTTATATATAACCCCACCTACCAGTTCTTTATCCTGTGCTTCATCTGCTCATAAACTACACAAGGTCACCAAGTATATTTTATAAAGTGCGATAGAACAAAGGCTTGCTCTGCCATGAAACCCACACATCAGTTTATAAAAATCAGGGCATAATCACAACTTCATTTCATGCTGCCAGCAGCCACATAGCTTTTCTCCCTTCTCAAATTACAGTTGAATCAGTAATGACTGTGATAGCATCGGGCTTGTCAAAACTGTCTCCAAGGCCTATTCAGCCCTCAGCAACAAGAAATGCCGCTATTGCTGCTGCAGAGCTACAGACTCTAAATTCAAAGGAACCTTTGGATCACATATATGACCGTATAGGCATCACAGGTCACGACTTCGTATCCATGTACTTGTGTACTAAGCTCACTAACTTGCATTTTTTAGGTTTATATTTCTTTTTCAGCATCACATAAAGAGGTGTAGAAACAGTGCACTAACTGGTAATTTATTAGAAAAGTCGCCTATCTGCACTACTAACTTTGGCATCTACTCTCACTGTTTGTATATTTTCTTCTCTTAGAAAGCTTCTTGTTGCCAATTAGATGCAACATTCCAGCATCAGTCTCATCACTGTCACTGAAAGAGGTAAAATCACCTCTTTACAGTTACTCCTCCTCTATATAGACTGAAATATGGTGATGCCCTCTTTCGTCCAAGCCATTTATCTGACTGACCTTTGGCTTGATGTGCATATATTAACAGAGTGTTCTGCTACAGCCTGCATTTAACCCAGGTTTCCTTCTTTAAAATAATTTTCTGTATTCTGCATCTCCTTTTCTAGTTTCTCAGGACTTTCTATTTTTAAAATGTGAATGGGAGGTCAAACATCAAAAAAATCTTCAAAATGTGCAACAATAACTGATGACTAATGTCTAGGGCAAAACCCACAAAACCTATTCCCAGTAGAGAGAACTTTACGCAGTTCTTCATTAAAAACTGGTTTTGGAGATTAGCAGTTTTAGACTGTTTCCAGTAAACATGTGGCAAAATTAAAGTCATGGACACTTATGAGAATCATAACCTTTTTTGCAGCTACTTGTCTAAATAAAGGAAAAAAGAAATTGCTTTTATCTAAACAAAACAAGCTCATCCTTGAATGCATCCATCAGCTTTAGCTCTGCAGGATCATCATCTCTTATGAAGACTGAAAGTAAGAGAACCTTTAATTAGCACAAACAGATGAAAAAGAAATGGTATATTGTCCTCATGGTGAAGCATCTTCTATTTCCACATTCTGAAATAGTTTTATGTTGGTTTAAGCCAATGCCCTGCAGTTGTCTAATCTTCAAGTGATAAAACATGAAAGATCAAAAGAGAAGTCTACCTAAACCTGACCAATGAACGGAAATTTGGAATCCAACATACAAATATATATAAAATTCTCCCTCATTACCCTGTGACACCAGTACTAAGCGTATGATAAATGTAGATGAAACAATATGCCTTAGAAGAGTACATCAGAAATAATCGAAGTACAACAATGACAACAACAGTAAAGAGCCCTTTAGGGAAAAATAATGTTAATCTCTCCAGATATAGACAAAAACCAGCAGCATATACTCCAACAAAAGGCATTCTGTTGATAGGTAAAGTATATTTGTTAAATTCCAGAAAAGGGTTAGCATTTTGTGTTCTTTTAAATGACAGCTCAGAGCTGGGCCTATTACAAAGTTTTAACTATTTCATTCTGAAGTACAGACTAAGAAAAAATGATACCAACTAATCCATAATAAATGAAGACAATGTCTGTGAAATGAAGACATAACAGACCAAGGAGAAAATAGAGTTTTCAAGTGTCCAGCAAGTAATTATAAGAATAAAAATTTCCCTTAAAATGTTAGCTATAAGGACCCATTTATATCTTTGGGGAAATACAAGCTTGATCTAATTCTTAAACTACTTTTTATTTTTTTAATTAAGAACTTCAGAAATTCATAAACAAAACTGTGTTACCAAGAAAGCTGTGGGGTTTTGTCCTTTACTACTGAAGACAACATATTGTATTGGTTATATAAATGTTTGCTGAAATAAAACAACACTCAGGGCAATTTTGACCAGACTAATAATGATTCTAGTAATGAACATCAACATATGCACCCTCGATAGCAGAAAAAAACTTAAGTGCAGATCAGATGTTCAGTTCTCAACCAATACACAAGGGTTCTTCTTAACATCTGGACAGCTATTTCTTTGCCTAAATAAAATGTAACAACTATTCTCATAAGGGAATACACGAGTGTACTTACTACATAGTTTCCAGGAGATGCTGAAGAATAAGGTATCTGTAACATCAACAGAAACAAAACAGTAATTTATTCTGCAGTGAAATGGAGTCTACATCTAAATTTATGTACAGTTGCACGCTAACACATATTTGTTTAATTTGTTTAAAAGACGTAGTTAAGGATTACAGAAAAATTTTCTTTGTCAAACCCAGACACCTCTTCTTTTCAACAGCTTGTCATTTTAAGTATCTTCAAGTCTGAAGCTAGCAATATAGACACAACCCAAATTTAACATCCAATATTTCAAATAAAAATAATTCCATTTAAGACTACTGTGCCCTAGTAGCCACTTTAATGAAATCAATATGAATAACATAATTCACACATGTAAATGTCTGTAGGCTGAGGTCTAATAACTGCCCTCTATTTTTCCATAAGTGAGGCACACATTTTTAACAGCCAGCATCACTTTTTAAAGACAGAAAGTTACAAACTCTAATACCAATCCACTTGTCGCATCTACTACAGTAGTCTTCTTATTCTTACTGTGGAAACCACAACAACCTCTGTAAAGATCTGCAGTCTATAGTAAAAGGTTAAGCTGTAAATTTATTAAGGTAATATGCTTTATAAGATTTATAAACTTAAGCAGCACATCCTTGCATTTAAGTCAACAGGACTTCAGAGTCATCCCAAGCATGGACTGAATTTGTATGTTCTTATATACACTTAATCTTGAATAAAATGATGTCTATAAAAGGAACATCAACTCTCTACCTTTCATCGTATCTGTCTTTGGATTACTTGGATTATTTGTTACAGAGGATATCTGGAGAAACCTAGTCACCCTATATTTATGATAGCCTTTGCAACTATTCTCTTTAAAAGAACATGGACCAATGCTATAACAGGAGGATGATGTAAGAATTTAGCAATCGCACTGACAAAACAATTTTGTAGCAGAAGACTCTTACATGATTGTAGACAACTTGTCAGCCACTTGATTTTTCCAAATACATCTATTAGTGGACTTCTCAAAGTTGCTAGTTGCAAAGTTGAAAGTATTTCAACTAGCAGTTCAAAAATAACCTGACATCCGACTTAGTTGAGTACATGCAAAAGAAAACTTAGGGAGAGTTTAATCTCTCATTTCCCCAATTGTCTTTAGTAGAATTAAACAAATCACAACCAGGCTAGCGTGTTAAGCCAAATCCATCTTATGCAACTGTAAGTGCTAAAAAAGGACAGATTTTTATACTAATGATGCATGACCACTGAATGAAAATGAACACTTTACCTTTGTGTTTTCTGAAGAAATACCAGACATGTTGTTCATGTGAGATGCCTCACTGACTTCCCTCAAGCTGCTATTAGGCTACCTCATTTTGTAGCTGTTGCAATGAAATTCAAATTTGCTTTTTACAAAAAGTATATCAAAATGGGTGACACCTTGAAAGCAACTGCTCTATGATTCCATATTTCCTAGTTAAGAGCAGCAAATGTGTTTTTGTTATGTAAAATATGTGAGCACACATTAAGCTGTCTCTTAACAAGCTGTGATTTCTGTAGAGTTTGCCGCCCAGATAGTGTTGACCTAACTCATCTTACCTGTGCTAAAGTAATCCAAAATACATTTTAAATATACCCCAAGATAACCTTTGTGTTAAGGAAGTGCTGTAACTGATGCAAGGATGCAGAGCTGTTGTGTGATTATGAAAAGATCTGGGTATTTGCAGGTCAACAAGCTCTCTGTTCAGATGTGCTTCTCACTGTACCTTCTCTGCATTAGGCTTAGCAGGGAAAAAATAAATCATGCAGTATTCCATTTGTTGAATGAAGTGCAATTTTTTTCCTGGTGTATTGATGAGAAATACTTCCCTAAATATAAGATGATGTCTAATATATTTAAATATTTACTTACAGAATTGGCATTGGTTGGGTTTGGCCAAGGTCTACCACCCCCAGGACCTCTGTAACAGATGACAAAAGATGAGACACAGAACAATCCCCATCTCCTGAGAAGCTCTGAGGAAGCAAATCAAAATAATCTGTTTCCAGAGTAAGGAAGAAGATGGTTTTTTTCAAGTTAAAGTATGGGTATAAATCATAACTACACTGAGTTATAATGCTATAGCAAAATTCTCACCATTGCACTACCATAATAATTTCATTAGTTTATAAGTTAATAATTTCTTTATTATTACAACCCTGCCACTCATATTTAAGACACTTCAGTTCCTGACTCATTCTGGTACTTCTGTACAATTTGGGACAGGACCTGCCAGAATGGCACCATAAGGAGTCCTTCCCCTGTAGCCACTGTGCCAGAGGCTACAGCGGAGATGGCAGAGGTTTGCATTGGTCCCAACACTTGTAAATTTAGGAAGTGCCAGACATTGCTCTTTCATGTTCTTAATGGAACAATTTGAACGACATTGCAAATCTGTGTCTCTTGAAGTGCTTTCCCTCTGTTCACAGAGAATTTAAGTCTGTGTTACATCGATGCAACATTTTAATGTGGCATAGAAGTTTTGCAAAGAGTAAAAAACAAGTTCCCAAATTCTGTAAGTTCTCACGAGTAGTGTTTTTCCTTGTTCTCTGTTAACCTTGTAAAAAAAATTGCAGGAAGTGTCACACATTCCAGAGAAGTCTACTTACTGCACAGACAAAGGTGCAAAGCTACTAAAATATCAGTGTAATTGCAGTCACAGAAACAGTACTCTTGCTTACACAATTAAGTACCTTTCTGAAGAACTGAGGATGTGTGCATTTGAGTACATATCAGGAATACTGCAAGTATAGTAAGGCTTCATTAGTGAAATTGAGGCTAGCACCTTAGAAATGGTTTGGGAAAACCTGTTTTTTAAAAGAATGAGCCACAGAAAATATGTTTCTATAACCTGTATCTGATAAAAATAACACATCTCATGTATTAAAAATTGAAAATGTGACATTTTACACATACACTTTAAACATACATTTAGATATTTACCTATAAAGAGTCTGCTACATTATCTCCACAGAAGTCACAGAAACATTAAGTTTATCATACAGTAGGCACAATAGAGATTTCAGATTTTTCAGGCGTAATTTCAGTATAATTTCATTACACTTGGCCCAAATGGTGTACGCATGATTTAGTGACACATCCCCAGCAGGAGGGACAGGAGGGTTTCCACAGGCAGAAAACCTGCTTGATAGAGCCAGCTCCGAGGAGTTTTAAGAGGGGTACCAAATCAGAAGGGAATGGGGAAAGGAGAAAGCTGTACAGATAGAGCATGTTTTTCTCACAACTCTTGCTGTTATTTTAAGTTTCTCACTTTTAGCTGAGCTCAGAGAAATAGTTTGGTCGTTAGGCTTCGCCTTTTAACAGTCTTGAGGGAACTAAGCCATATGGGAGGTAAAATCTTCATGTTTACAGTCATAACATCTCAATAACCATAATTATTCCTGGGAGCATTAAGAAATTCTAGTTATTTATAAATAAGACAGAATCACTTTTTGAAGGCCCTGACAACTGAAAGGCAGAGCAGATGACAAAACTTTTGCATTTAAAATGGCATTTTGGCTTCATTAGCTTTAGAAAAGCAACATTAGCCACCACAGCTTACCAGACATGAAAGAGTGATTTAAATAAAAAGAAGAAAGCACGCTCTATTAATGAGTTCAGAGAGTTTTCTATCTATTTTAAAGTCTTGTGAAACTAAAAACTATTAAGTAGATATGTTGCCTAACAGATGTAATATTGAATCTTATTTTTTATTACATTGTTGCTGAAACTATAAAAAAATAGCTCAAACAATCAACTGAAGTAAATCAAGTGAGAACTCATTTATTTCCACTGACGTTATTTTTGGAAGGTTGGAAAACAGGAATGTGGCTGAGGATCTTTTCTGCCTTATTCACTGGAAGGAGGGGAGGCAAAGCAAGGAAAGGAACTCATAGTACTCATACCCGTCAGGTCAAATATTCAGCAATTTCTCCTCTGCTAACAATTACAAGGTATAATATTAAGTGGTTTGTCGTTTTTTTCCTTCCAAAAAGTTGTTATTTTTTCCTATGTACCATATTTGGTTTATTTTATCCTCTTTTTCAGAGAAATCAGGAATATTTGCAACAGCTCTAGAAGTCTGTTTTCACCCCAAAACCCTGCATTTGTTAGACATTAAGTAATATAAATATATCCAGCTAAAAGCATCAAATGAAAAAACAGCTGTGATGACACTGCACATTACTCTGAACTACAGAGATATTAAAAAGCTGACTCAGATACATGACTGGGTTAAGCCACAGCAACAAGGAAATTTACACAGGCCTTAAAAGGAGACTGGGAAATTCAACTTTCATCTAAAAAGCTGTTGGAATTTGCAAATTTAGATGGACAGCTCTAAGTATATACTCAGAAAACACTGCAGCAGATTCTGCTGGAAAGCCATAAGTTTTTTGTGGAGCCAAACATTGTTAGCTTGTAAAACACACGTAAGAAATAGCTACCTGCAATCTTTTTCAATGCAATGAAAGCAGGTTTTTGCCCTTTATGAAATGTTTATTTTAGAAGCATCGGCAGAGTCCTAAAAACATCATTATGAATGCACAAATTCCAAAGCAATTTATGACATATCTGTCGCTATGACTAATTACAGCTGCACTTTATCCTTAAAGTTTGTCCTATAGCGTTGATCAAAGTACTTGAAAAAATAAAGTCTAAAATCTCAGTTTCCCCAGGGGCAAATATATTCCATCAGGAAATTAAACATCTAGGCGTAAGTTTGTGAACTGAAGTTAAAAAACAAAATCACATTTTCAGGCATCACTCAGATATTCTTAGTGTTTAAGACAACACTGCAGGTCACAGAATCACAGAATATTAGGAGCTGAAAGGGACCTCAAAAGATCATCCAGTCCAACCCCCCTGCCAGAGCAGGATCACCTAGACCAGGTCACACAGGAATGTGTCCAGGCGGGTTTTGAATGTCTCCAGAAAAGGACACTTCACAACCTCTCTGGGCAGCCTGGTCCAGTGCTCCATAACCCTTATAGTAAAGAAGTTTTTCCTCATGTTCAGACTGAACCTCCTATGCTCCAGCTTGCACCCATTGCCCCTTGTCCCGTCATTGGCTGACACTGAGAAGATCCTGGCCCTTTACAAATTTATAAACATGAATGAGGTCAAATGGGCCATTAAAAAGTGCCAGTTGAATGTCACACTGCTTCTCAAAATCTGCCACTTTGTTCCAAAGAGGGCTCTTTTTCACAGAGAAATAAGATCTTACTAAAAATCTCTACACCAAATTTCAACTTAAAACCTTACAGCTACAATGAAGTTATTTTGCAGAAGAACATGGGATGCGTATCAGCTCTTTCGAACTGTAACCTGATAGGCATTAGTTAAGATGGAGCAAGCAATCATTTAGCTTGCTTATTGATCATATTGCTTGCTTATATCACATACATTTGTGGAGTATATGCTCCTGGACTGAAATACTGTCTACGAGTTCTGAAGCTTGTTGTTGCCATTTTTGACAATAAAGAACACTTTTTCATCCAGAAAAATATAAAATTGTATTTGGCATATATTCTGCTCTTAACTGAAACAGCTTCCTCTCACACTTTCCAAGAAGAAAACGCTGGATTTTAAATGCAACTGTTTTTTGTAGATTACACATTTTTATATTTTAATATTGCCAAAAATCCAAAAACATTGAACAGAACACTGAAAAATTTTCATGTATGAAAAAGATATGGCTATGTAAAAACAAATGTACATTACTATAAGGCTATAGCCTTATGTATAATTATGCTATTTCCTAGAAATATAGGCACACTAAATGACTTACACGCTACGGTTACCTACTTCATAACTATTACTTCACATCTTGTTAAGACTCCAGTTCACCGTGTCCCCTTCAGGAGGACATACAAGTTCACAGGAAAATGTAATTCCTACATCACTTAATTAAAAAACACTATGTATGTTTGCTGGCTGAATACAAGATGAAATGTGCATATTAAATGCTGCAGTAAGTAAATGTTAGTATTTCAACTCATCTTCTCTCTTTCTGGCACATTAGGAATTATTTTTGTCATCCAGGAACTTGTTTTCTTATTTAACCCACATAAATTATCATTTATGTGTGTAAGTAGCCTCAAAATACCCTATCTATCCTCAATTTTACTTCTACAACATTTTATTTTACAAAGTTAATTTTCTTTTCTTATCATTCAATCTCCTTCAGAGGACAATCTCTGTGTTGCTTCTCTTATACTCACACTGAATTTCAAACATCTAAATATTTTTCCTACATCAGTTTTACTCAAAAGAAGGAATGCCTGCCCTTGGGCATTTTCCTAGAATTGTCTTGAGTCCAATATATGATATCTATAATAGAGTAACATCCAACTTTAGATTTTATTTTATTTCCTTCTAGATTTCAAGGTATATCGGGAAATCAAATTAAAATGTGGATAAGATGCATAAGATATTTTTTAGTGGTGTTATCTATCTCAATACCTCTACTTTTTCAGGTTGGTAACTTTTTCCTTGAAATGAAAATTATCATCTCTCATTTATGTTTCCTATAAAAATAAGAGTAAAAATTGGTATTTATTATAGAAGAGCAACAAGCATATATAAATCTTCACTGTCTTTTCTGTGTCTATCTGCTGAAAGCCCATTTTTGAAAGACAAAGGTGTAAAAGGAGTAAGAAAAGAACAAATTTTCTGCTTTATACTGTAAAACCATCCTGGTGTCTTGATAGCTGGACCACCATGCTGCCTCCCCTGACCACCCCAGGGTCTGCAAAATGCTGGTTACGATAAACTCTACTAATTTCAGTAGAGGTAGGGCCATGATACAAGGATGACTTAAGAATCTCTGTCTGTGGTATACTAAAGGTAACTATAGCAGCCCCTTAAAATTTGTGTATCTCTTAAGAGAGCAATGTAAATAATATAAGGAACACCCTTTTTTTTTGTTTCCAGGCTTGCTAATCATGTAAGCAACTTCAAGCAAGAAAAGATTTATATGAAGTGCAGAAGATTGCTCATGTTGGGCCACTTGCTATGCTCAAATCTTCAGCATAAATTTAGTCTACCCTAGATGCACTGATTTTAAATCTGAAATTTCTCTACACACTTAGAAAGGGGGTTTGTCTGCAGGTTTAAAAGGCATAATACACTCCCACGACTAAATCCATGCCTGAAATAAACCACTATGGCTTAAATGAACTATGTCTATATTAATTTTTACCAAATGATGATCCAGTCCCTGAAGTACATAGAAACACTGAAAATCTTACCCTCATATCTCTTCTATCTTGTTAGAGGGGAAATAAATGTAGTTATGGAAATAAAAACAGCAACAGAGAGAAAATCATCACACTTCTCTCAAATACGTCTTTTTGTATAAACAGTTCTAGTTCTAGGTAATGGCTTTATTTTGCTAAGATAAAGTACTTCTTTACTTTGCAGGAAAGAACCATAGTTGAACAATTCTTTACAAAATATTCAATCAGTAAAGTACAAAACAAGTGTAAATAATGTCATTTTTAAAAAAAAGTGAGTACAAGGATATATTGGTGATTATACTGACAAAATATTCCCAATATTTGAACTTTGACCTGTGAAAGAAACAGTATTTGTACAGACTTGTAGAGACAGCAAAGGTGCCTGTAAGAGATGCATGCAGAACAAAGAAACTGTTATGGATTCACTTCTTTAAATTGCAGTTATTAATCAAAGTATGTTACTTATCAAAGCATTCTCCTTGTCTTATGTATCCGAACGGCACTTCCACAATGAAACAATTATTTTTTCTAATTACAGTAAGATTTTATTAATATGCTTACATGTTCATTCCAGGCATCCCCGGGCCACCTAAAGCATTCAGTGGGGGTCTCATTGCACCTCCATAGTTCTGCAATGATAACCAAGGGTCAGACTACCACAAAACAAAAAAACAAAACCAAAGAGGAGGGGGAAAGAAAGGACAGCAGGTTAATGATATCCCTACACAACTGCTGACGGGATAGGCCATTCTAATTCATGTTCTCAGGAGTTTCCATTGCTGACTTAAAAAAATAGCATTGTTAACCCCAAGGAGAAAGGATTACAAACAATATTAACAGATTAAGAACGTTTTAAATGTCAAGTGTTTCAGGAAGAATTATTTACACATACAGAGGTCAAAGCTAACAAGGGGCAGGTTTTAAAAAGTATCCAACTTTTACATCAAGGGAGCTCATTCAAAATCAGAAACCTGGACTCAGATTCTACGATTTCTACAACATGGAATTGAAATAGAATTATTTTTTGTTAGATTTTGTTGAAATATCAATAAATGCTTGTATAAAATTATACCATATGACATCACTTTTATAACATACAGCATAACATTTACATTTCTTTTCTAATTGGTCAATTCTATCAAGTCTATGGTAACTAATATGAAAATTATTTAATATGATAATGAATGTCACAGCAATGTCAACAAACTAGTTGCCCAAAATCTGAGTTTGTACTCTGGTACTATGACACAAGTTTACATGAAAAAGTAAATTACACCTATTTATATTCAGAGGAATGTATGCAGAACAGACTTATCTCACCTCACAATCACAATGCTCTCCCTAATCTGTGTTAATCCTGCTACATCTTTCTCGTATTTCAAAAGAAGGCGTAATAGTAAAATCTCTGAAATGAACAGCTGAGCATTTTGGAAGGAGGGAGGGACAAAGAAGTGATTTACTTTAAAAAAAAAAACAACCCACAGGTCATTGTTGCAGCTTATTTTCCACTAATAAAACTAATACACTCAATTTCATGTATAGTATACTGCAGACTGCATAATCTACATGGTTTAGGCTTATGGGTGTTCGCTATATTGGTCTGATTCATAAAACCATGTGAATACGAAGTCATGAATATGTGGGAGAAATCCAACAGTGACAGGCAAAGTGTGGATCTGGTGCTGTTTGTATCTTGAATGATACGACACACCTGTTATCTAGAACTGATCTGTAACTAGGAGAGGAGGTTCTGTTGCTGCAAACAAAAATCCCAAACTTAAAATTGTCTTCATTGTGAACAATCCTGAAAGTGCCCCATGGAGAAGTGGCTTGCAAAAATACAAGCAGAGGCTGCAGATGTTCTCTTCCAGCCCCAGCAGTGTCACCTGAAGATGGTATTATCCACAGCTGCAGTCATCAATCACTACTCATTCCTGCCTTTTTGTGAGCAACAGGAGGACGGATGGGTGTGCATGTTCAGGCAAAAGTCAGCCAGACTAACTCAAAGCTCTTGTTTAACCTAGGTTATCCTAGATGATTTTTCTGAGCACCTCCTCTGTCAGAAGTAACTGGTGGGCAGTGAAAGCAGCTGGGCACAGTAATGTCCCCAGCTGGCACTACTGGATCTGGAAGAGAATACAGTCTGACTGTAAAAAAACAGCAGTTCCCCATCTCTTTTATTTCATTTTTCCATCTTGATGTGGAGGGCTGAGCCATTCTCCCTATTTGGTCTGTCTGGCATCTCCTCTCTTATTTTAATTCAGGAATTATTTGTGCGGACCATGGTTAAAGATCTCTATGGAATCCTGCAGGACTGGAAGACTTAATCAAATGTACTTCTAGCTCTAATTGCTGCTAATTCCAATCAAATGTACTTCTCCATCCTAAAATAAGAACACTTTCATTAAGGCTACCAATATACAGACTCCTTCAGCTGTAGCTATGTTCTCTGCAGAAGTTAGTGCCCCAATTTTTTCCTTACAGCTTTTGACTCAAAGTCACCAACACAGCTGCTTAATCTGGTAGTTGAGTTGTTCACAAAAGCGCTCCCTATTGCCAGGTGGCCAAAAAGGGTCAGACTAACCAAGATTTTTTTTCTTAAATATTTAAGATGACCCAATTCTTTTGACTACAGAGTGTTAAGGAGCATGTGGGAGGCTCACCAGCAGATATGAAAGATGGGGAGAGGTAGTGGTCACAGATTGCAGGTAGTACCCCATGCATCTATCATAACTGGCTTGAAAAAAGGTCTGAACTGAATTATTTGGAGCTTTTCATAGATTCAAGCATTTACAGCCATTCCAAACCATGAAGCTTTTTGCTTCATGTTAATTAGTTTGAGACCGTCTAGAATCATAAAATACAAAACTGAGGTAAATTTTCTGTAGGTTTTCACGCACGTGTGTACTATACTTGCTATACTAGACATAAGCATTTCTGTATCAGCCCATTAAGTGTTTTGCAAGTTGACTGCCTGTGCAGCAAGGCAGCAGGGCCTCCCCCTATTGGCACACCTAAGTCAACTTCACAGCACTGCAGCAAGAGGATTTTAAAAGTAGGTGTGAAAGGTTCATCAAATTTGGTTTTAGAACTGCATTCTGAGAAGATCTTAAATGCCAGACACAAAGACAGATGATGATCCATTTATAGAAAAGACTGATTTGCAAACTTAAATTTTGTATAATTAGCTACATTTCCCCCCATTTCAAGAGAATGTTCAGTACAAGAAAGAAGAACCTTACAAAACCACTGGATTTTAAGAAACAGCAAAAATGGAAAAACTATCCTTATAAAAACTGGCATGAGATTTGCCTGCTGTGTGATTTAATGATAGTTCATAAAGTATCAGTTCAATCTCATACGGCAGTATTGCAAAGCTTCTCTTTCTGCCACCAAAAGGCAAGTGGTAAATACACTTCAATGCTACAGAAAAAATAACAGATGTATTTAATAGTGTCGGTCACACAGCAGATTTATGCAGAACTGCACAACCAGTTTCTACCAAGAAGACCCAAAATTGTAAAGACAGTTATGAACAGATTTGAAAGGTCAAAGCTACTTAATCATTCCAAATTCAGTTGCTATTCCAAGGAACAGAGAAGTCACTGGAGAGACTATCTGAAATGGGGAAGTAAAAACACAAAGTGTGGGCACAACATCACACTGTAAAACAAAATACTGGCAACACCAGTATGAAACACCACCACTTCAATCTTCTCTTACTGAGAGCACTGACAAAATACAGAATAATCTTTTGGATTCATATTTCAGGTATGCATCAGAATTAATTTGTTTTCTACCTTAGTTTACTGTTGAAATGTAATACTGACAAATATCCAAGAAAATTTTCATACTTTTGAAGAAAAAGCCTATGAACAACTATTACCAGGTCAGCATCATAGAAAAGGCTGATTTTTGCAATCCAAGGTTGCTTCACTCCGTGAAAACAGAGCTAGGGAGTGTTTGTGATTGACAAGTGGGAGAAATGGAGTCATGAAGGTCTCTTTTTACATTAAAATCTCTCTAGCACTCATCAAAAATCTAGATCAATAGTGGATGAAAGAAAAACCTTACAGAATTTTGGGGGAGAGGTATTTTTGGTACAAAGGGTTTGCATAGGTTATAAGTAATAATCCTTTCCTCCTAAACAGCATAATCAGTTAGGTTGGGAGAATGATGAAACACCTGCTTCATCTCTGGTCTCCTTTACAAATGTCAGCCTTTGATTACAACATATGCTGGCTGTAGGACAAACATAACTTCTCTGAAATAAGCAAGTTAAGGGATTCCTTTTAATTTCAAATCTTAAATAAAATTGCTGATGTTTTCATTTTAGACTTCATACAGCTGCAACTCAGAATTCATTTTTGCAAAACATAAAATTTGCTTCAAAATGAGATTAGAAGAACAAGTACTGGCCATCTTCAAGCTATGGAAAGCCAGATTAATATAGTCTAAGTACAGGCCTGTCAATAAAAATGGGTATTCATCTGTTGAAGGTACCTGTGGTCCTAATGGAACCATTCCTCTAGGAGGAGTCATTCTCTGCATTGGCCCACCCATGTTTGGATGCCCTGCAAACAAAATTATATACCTTAGAAAACTGTGCAATATACAAGCACCTTCTAAAACAACTTTAACAAATCATTTCCTTTTAATTAACAGAAAGCTTAAAAAGCTCCATTAAGCTTTGAAACATAGAAAGAAAGACACAAGTTTGAGAAGACAGTAATTATTTCATTCACCTTGCTGCCGTGTTGGGTCCATCCCGCTAGGCAATAATGGCTGACTTCCTGGGACACCTCCAAGTGGCTGCAGGCATAGAGGCCAGATGTTAAAAGCATATAATGCTATGAAATTTATGCTAAAGACATAATGCAGATATTTTGTTTTTAATTCCCGGCCGTTTCTTCTGAGTCAAGAGCAATGTGGAAGAGTTAACTTTCCTAAATGCCCTGACTAAATGTCCTAAGTAACTAAACTCAAAGTCCTGAATGTCCTATGACCCTGACTATAGATTTGCATGGACAAACTCTTGGACTTCTCTGGAGTTATATATAAATAATCTCAAAAATACAATGGCCTAATTTGCTTTCCTCACCTCCAGTACTTCCTTCACTTTAGCTTACCTACTATTTAACCCCCAAACACTAACTTTTTCTTGGGTACATGGCAATTTATCCAAAGCTTATATTGCTGCAGTTTTCCCTTTTAAACATTTTATCATCTCCTTTCAGAGGCCAGGATGCGGACACTGATATTCTCTGACAGTGAGCCGTAACTGAGCCAACTGCACGGCATTCACAGGGTACAGTTAATTAAGGCTGTGATGTGGGGAACATTTTATCTTCCACTTTGCCTTACTCCTGAAGGGCATCAATGCCAAGATAACCTTGTTATTCATCTACGGGAGATAACAACAGGCACAAAACTTGCTCCTAAATCTTGCCTTCAAACATGAAGGTACACTGTGTTGTTATTTCACCTCTGGTTGATACCAAAAGCATTGCTTTTATGTCCCCACACTTTATTCTGGCCTTTAGGTTTATAGTAACTGAATTAGGTTTAAGGCTAATTTTTACAGTCTCTTACCTATAGTCAACTATAAATACGTTCTTATGAACAGATCTTTGCAGCTGACCCACTAGGTGCTATTTGGCACTTCAAAACAAAATCACATTTTCAGTAAAAATGTATCCAGAATGATTAAATCTGTTACAATGAAAGTAACATACTCAGGCAATACAGATATTGTTTAATTTGGGAACGCGTAAGTTACTCTTGACTTGGAAATACTGTAGTAGTCTGAGATACATACAAAGGGGAACCCATCTGCAAATATTATATATAGAGTCCACAAGAGGTAGGAAACTCAAAATTAAGGTCTACATTATTACATCAAAGGTAATACAGTCAGAAGGTACTACAAGATTAATTTATAAAAAATCTGAGATTACGTAATTTAGATCAGGGTTTTACATGTACTCCAGTGGCTTGAGTCTGGATGATACATAAGAACATACATGAAGCGCATGGAGAACTGTCAGATATTAGCAAAACTGGTCACTTCTGCCAGAGATGGCAGGTGGTAGCAAAGCGGGTGTTGGTCTCTTCTCCCAAGCAGTTACAGTGGGAATTTTAACTCTGATTTTTACTGTCTTACATCTAATAAAAATTTCAGCCTTAAAGCTGCACTACAATAGTTCCACACACTGCCCATCTATACTGTAACTTAAGTAACGACAGTGCTGTTAAAAGTAGTAATTCATTAATACGGCATAATGCAAATGAATTGCAAGAGCTGTAATTCACTGGGATTATGCGATTATGTTACAGCTCTGAACTGAAAATATCACAATGTGCAGACAAAAACGCTTCTGAAAATAAAACTGCAGGTTGGCAGCGCTTTCACAGCACTCGCCACATCCAGTTTTTACCTGCCAGTATTTACAGCATTCAGAAACACAGAAGGATAATAAAAAGGAATATGTGAAACCCAAACACTGGTGTATATTTGGTTAAGATATTGCTGAAAGGTGCAAAAATCAGAAAGATACTCTGTACTGAGTTATAGTATGTCTGCAGCAAACATTTAACCAAAGTGCTAACAACACTGAACTCTTACATTGTCCCTTGATGATCACTTCAGCAAGTTTAATTAAGTCACCTGTCTCCCTTGTGAGAAAGTAGCTATGGTACAGGTAACTTAACCTGCTCCCAAACATCACCGTGCTTGATGTAGAGGAGGATCTGGAGAAGTCCTGCCACCTGATATATCCAGCTCACTAAAATTCACATTTGGTACTTTCTGGCAATATTGTTTCAGTGCTAAAGAAATGTTTGTTGGCATTGTGTTGTACAGATAAAAAAACAAGTCAGAACTGAAGTCTCCTCATCAAGCTGTGACAACAAGAAAGGCAGTCCTGGAAGTCTAAGTTGGACCAAAACACCCATTCCATCTATCCTATCAACCTTTCCCAGTATTGTAAATGACCCAGTTTTTCTTTCAGAGCTCCACCGATACTTTTCTGTCTGCTTATCTTTAACTTCTCATCTGCTGACAACCACCTTCTCCTCCCCTGTCTGCACTATGGAGAACTTAAAAATACAAATGCTATCTGCTTCCAGAACCATCTTTTCACAGATGGGCCAATAAAGGTCTCTGCTGACGAACAGCAGCGCATTACTCATTCTCCTTACACAGGCATGCATAACTTTTGATGGAGATGAGACAAAATTTAGAATTCAATGCTTTTGTAAAGTCCTCAGAGTATCTGTAAGAGCCATAGAGCACTTCATGATATCTGTTTCTCACCAATGATCTCCATATTTACTGTGAATATATCCAACAGCCAGCAATGGCTGGCTGAGGTTAATGCAGCACCACGCGAGGCAACTATATCCTCACTCCGCAAACTGGCTTCATGCATAATAAATTTTGAGGTGTAGACACTAATTAGGCAGAGGAAAGTGAGCTGGGAGTGGCATGGCCAGACCTCATCAAAATAACTATTTAACTTTTAGACAAAACGGGGTTGAGAAGGGACTGAGGAAGTTCTGTAGCCAAATGGCCACTGGTAGCTAACAAGACAATGCTACCTGCTCTCACCACTGCACCATCACCCTGGACCACAACAGTGCATCCCTGGTGACACCTTACCTGATTGGGTATTCTTAAAGGTGGCCTTGGACCTCCAGGGTATCGAGGGGACATGAAAGGCTATGGGAAAAAAAAAGAAATAATGTTAAATAATTCGACTTAGCTTCTAAATACTGCACTGAGTCATTGGGCATATGGCTTGTGCCATGCTCACACCTCAAGCATCCAGCTTAAATACTCCCACAGAGCATTCGGTATATTATTGCACAATGTTTAGCAAAACTAAATAAATTTAGAGATACTTAGTGAATGCATCTATCAAGAAACATTATTTAAAACTTTGTTACAGCAATTGTGAATGCAGACTATAAACAACGCAATAATGACACATCTATACTTTCCACCAGAGAAGGGGGAAAGATAGGAATCTTGGAACAGGAAAAAAGACATTCTAGGGAGAGTCAAGAGGTAAGCAACAGCAGAATAATTAATTATACATTATTAATAAT